TTCTTCTATCCGTGCCGATCGCCGTTGGGATCCTCCAGCTCGGGCCCCCTGGCCGCCTCCAAGCCGGGGATGCTTCAAGGGCGTTAGGGCGTCTTGAAGCGCGTCAGGGCGGCAGGGCTTCGTCAGGGAGAAGCGTTAGGAAGGGCTACAGTGAGCGGCTGGAATAAGGAACACTTACTTTTCAAAAGGGGCTCGGTCGTTCCTTAGGTTTTACATGCGTTATTTACAGTTCCTTATGCGTCATCTATTAGTTATCGTTCCTTATGCGTTATTCCTTGGGATAATAAGGGACTTCGTTCCTTATTTATCGTTCCTTAGGTCAGGCCGATGCTTGTACGTGGGCTCCGGGGTGGATGCGTCGACCCCCGATCGCCCATGCCTCGCCGACCGGAGCCCACAGAGGCCACCCTGCCCAGAGGAACGTGAGGCTCCGCCATTGAGGCCCTGTCGCCGATCTCTCGGGGAGGCGTCGCTGGCTCCAGGTCGATGCCTCCCCCTCTTGAGCCGGGCCCCCCCCTGTGGTTGCCTCCTCGTGCGGGGACGGGCGGTCCAGCGCCGACCCACAAGCGCGGGCCCGAGGAGGCGGTTGCGCGTGCCGTGGTTTTGGGTGGTTCTCCATCGGGCTGGCTTGGGGGGCGAGGAAGGACGGCCGCGCCGAACGGCAGCGGGCCCCAGCAATTTCCATCGACGGCATCCTGCTCTGGCGGCAGAGGCCCCTAAACAGCTACGCGTTATCGTACGAGCTTGCCCATGGCAGGTCGCCTCGTGCAGCGATCCCAGTTTGCCTGGCGGTCTTCTGCTTCACGCCACTGTGCCAGTCACGCCGTGATGTGATTCAGTGATCGCGCACTTCTCATCTCCTCTACTCCCCGGGGGGAAAAAAGCCTTACACAGCCCACGATGGGGGGCCACGATGGGGGGCCACGATGGGGGGCCTCGATGTGCCACCGATTTCGGGGGCCCAGGCTCCATCACCCGGCGATGCTTCCCCACCCCTCCTCCTCCTCCTCCTCCTCCTCCTCCTTCTCCTCCTCCTCCTCCTCCTCCTCTTCCTCCTCCTCCTCCTCCTCCTCCTCCTCCTCCTCCTCCTCCTCCTCCTCCTCCTCCTCCCCCTCCCAGGCTCCATCACTCGGCGATGGTGCCCCCCCCCCCCTCCCGGATCCGGTTTCCCCCTCGACGTTGCCCCTCCTATTTTCGCTGGGGCCGGGGCTCCGGCGGTGCGCCTTGGGGGCCCGGGGTCCCGCAGGAGATGGCCCAGGGCGTGGAATCCGCGCGGAAGGTGGGGTCGAGAGCGCGCTGCGTGCTGAAAGGAGTTGGAGGTATGGCCAGGTCAGACTGGGGGGGCCGATCGGTCTTACAGCATTCCTAGGTGCGTGGCTGAGGTGGGGTTCTGCGGCGCGGATCATGCTTGTTTTTTGTTCCCCACCAGACAGGTTGGGGTCGTTAGGTTTTAAGAACAGACCTCCCGGCCACTCCCACCCTGCATACCGCGGCCGCTAGACCCCAAGTTGTCCCGGGTGTCCTGGTTATCCCGCCTCGCGCCCTCGACAAACACGACAGAACACACCCTGCATACCGCGGCCGCCAGACCCCAAGTTGTCCCGAGTGTCCCGATTATCCCGCCTCGCGCCCTCGACAAACACGACAGAACACACCCTGCATACCGCGGCCGCCAGACCCCAAGTTGTCCCGAGTGTCCCGATTATCCCGCCTCGCGCCCTCGACAAACACGACATAGTACAATATGACAAAACAGAACATGACATAACATAACAAAAGCATGACAGAACATGGCAGAACAGAGCATAACAACATCATGACAACATAGAGGGCACCAGCATATCACACACCATACCAGATCAGAACATGGCAGAACAGAAACAACGACATACCACAGCATGCTCCAACATAACTGAACATAACAGAAGACACATGGGCATAGCATATCATATCATAACACAGCGTGACCAAACATATCATAAGACGACAGCAGAGCATAGCGGCGAATTTGCCAGCATACAACATGTCACACCATAAGGTATCATGCCAAAACACGATCATGCCATAACATGGCAGAGCATACCATATCAGTCTCATGACAAAGCAGCTCATACCATAACATCATATAACACATCATATCATAGCATGGTAGAACAGAAGGCGACATACCACAACATAACAGCATAACCGAGGAACATATAAGACACCTTGGCAAAACATCCCATATCATTGCACTCCATCGCGGAACATCTCATAACACGGCAGTGTAGCATATCGCCACATACGCATAGCAGGTCGTACTATATTATACTGTGCCGAGCCGTCCACAAACACAACATCCCAGAACATACCAGAGCATATCATAACATACCGGAAGACGGCATACAACAACATAACATAATAAGATCGATCATACCATAGCAGGCGATGACAGGACACACCATATCATGACACGGCATCACATACCACATCATAACACGGCGCCGCAGCATTGCGAATCATACTAACAAAACACCTCATAACCTAATGTACTGAGCCGAGCCGTCAACAGCATCACGGAACAGAGCATACTATACCATACGATGTCAGCATACCATGCAATAACATAGTGCCGCTACGCAGATCACACCATAGCATCTCCAACCATATGGTGACATATGTGGGCATAAATAGAGCATAACATGAAACATCGTTACTACATGGAACACGGTTAAACCATTTTTGAATACAGAAGCGGCAGTAGTGCAGTGGAGGAGAGGAGTACCACGACAGAACAAAACATAGCAGCACACACAATAAAACATCGTATCATGTTTTGCTGTATGGAGCCGAGCCGACAACAGCATCACGGAACATATCATATTATAACATATTTTGGGATAACATGTCATGTTCTAACATGGTGCCGAAGGGCAGATTATGACATAACGTAACAAAACATATTGTGGCAGAAGCGTGCATGACAGCATATTTTCAGCAATGAGATAACGGAAGGGCAGAGGGATATCGTAACATAATTCTTCGTATGTGCATGTTGGTCAGCGTCGCCACAGGAATCAAGAGTCACATCAGGGTGCGATATGACGATGTCCCTAGCGTGACAGGCGTCACGACGTCACGCCGGCCTGTTGATATCAGAACATCAGAGAACACAGCATCACATTCTGCATCGGGCAGAATCCCACTACACACACACACACTTTAGGACAACATCACGTATACAGTAGCCGCAATTCGACGGTGTCGCCCAGGCGTCACGACGTCACGCTGGCCCGTCGAGAACACACATAGACATAATAGAGCATAGCATGTTAGAGAGTTACTCCATGTAATACTGTCCAACGCTATTGAGTTCAGCAACGCCGGGCACTGCGGACATCCTTCCGGTAGGCGCGCGCACCGTTGGGACCGAATACCGAAGGTTTCGGTGGGGATCGCTCGAAGCAGAATAATGTTGGTTGCCTGTTTTTCTCCTCTGAGGAAGGTTGATGGTTGATCCCACCTTCAGTGCCCATGATGTGTTTCTGGAATTGAAGTGCCCCGTCCGGGGGCTCGCACCTTGCTTTTTGCAAGGGGAACTCAGACTGGGTTGTTGCCCCCTGGACTAGTATAACAACGGTCCCCGCTTGATACTTCCCCACCGTTGATTGACGAATTTCGGTCTCGTTCGGGGCTTCCGTCTAATTTACCCAGGAATCGCGATCTCGCGAGGGACGTCCTCGCTTTTTTTTTCGACGCCGCGCTTTCGACACTCGGAGAGCATTCTCTTGCCTTCTTGACTTCCTCACGATTTACTTGGGAATCGCGCTATCGCTGGAGACTTCCTTGTGGTGCATGCAGGACGGACGCTTCAGCGGCCCGCCCGCGTGACCCCAGCGTCTGGGCCCGCCCGCCCGAGCAACCCGTTGGGGCCCGCCCGCTCGACCCGCCCGCCTGGTCATACCGCTCGTTTTCCTGCTCCTTTCTCCTTGCTCCGATCTTTCTCGCGAGGACATCCCAGGAGCTGCCTCGCCCCCTCCTCCTCCTTCTCCTCCTCCTCCTCCTCCTCCTCCTCCTCCTCCCCTCCTCCTCTCCTCCCCCTCCTCCTCCTCCTCCTCCTCCCCCTCCTCCTCCTCCTCCTCCCCTCCTCCCTCCTCCTCCTCCTCCTCCCCCTCCTCCTCCTCTCCTCCCCCTCCTCCCCTCCTCCTCCTCCTCCTCCTCCTCCTCCTCCTCCTCCTCCTCACTCCTCCTCCTCCCCTCCTCTCTCCTCCTCCTCCTCCTCCTCCTCCTCCTCCTCCCCCTCCGAGCCACGCGGAGGACGGAGGGCGGCCCGAGCGCCATGGTGCAGATGCTGCTGATCTCTCTCGTGCTCCGATTTCTCTCTCGCGCCCCCTGCCCCTTCACTCCTCCCTCCCTTCCCGTGCTCCTCTCCTCCCTGCTATCTGTGTTGTTCTGTGGCTCCCCTCTTCCCGTTTCGGGGGCCGCGCCAACTACCCGTGGCGGCCAGGGGAGATATACCCCCGAGGGCGGTGCGGTCAGAGACGAAGATGGCCGCTGTCGAGGGTTTGGGATATACATGTTGCTTGACACGCCAACAGAGCTGCCTTAAAATGACTGTTGTTGTCACTGTCGTCGTCCTAGCCCGCGGCCCGCCCGCGACCCGCCCGCGACCCACCCACGCTCCTTTGACGCAGGGGAATCAGCGCGTGCGGCTTGCTCGTTGGGCAATGTATAATAAATCGGCGCCTGCGGCGGGCTTCTCAGAGCCTCACAGGCTGCCGACGACCCTGTCGCCTCCGCACTCCTATCCGTAACTGCGGGGGGGGGGGTATGGTGCAGTCTCCGTGCGGTCTGCTGGGGAAGGGGGGCGCGCCGCGTCTCTTCGACAGGGTCGGGCAGCGACGCGAGGCGAGATCGGCGGCGAAATCAGAGCCCTACCCTCGCCGATCAACGATTCAGGCAACTCGATGGGCGGCGGGGGTCGGGTTCGGAGTTCCTCGAACACGTGGCGAAATCCGAGCCCGACCCACGCCTCCCATCGATTCAGGAGAATCGATGATTTGTGGGGGTAGGGTCCTGGTCGCCGCCTAGCGAGAGGCGCGTGCTTTTGGGAACGCCTTCCTTTGCTCAACGCAGGTGCATGTGGAGTTCAAAGCGGGCCAGTGCAAGTGGGATGGGCGGATCGTCACGTCGGCCAAGACGAAGGGCAAGGTGGTTCTAGTCTCGACCGAGGATGATGGCCTCATGCATTTTCAGTGGTTCGACCGCGAGAAGAACGAGACGTCTGTCGACCTCATCGTGATCAATGACGCCTACTTCGAGAAGATCGAGAAGTGCAAGGACGGGCGCGTGTACATCCTGCGCTTCACCTCAAGCGACAAGAAACTCTTCTTCTGGATGCAGGATCTTCGGTCGGCGACGAGGGCATGAACAAACGTGCGCCCCGCTTTTCGCCCTCCATCCTCACTTCCCATGTTCTCTTTTGTGTCTACGCGCTCTTCAACAGTAACTTCCCCCCCGCCCTTCTCTTTCCTTCTCCCTCACCCTCCTCCCCCCCTCCTCCCTCCTCCCTCCTCGACCTAAGGGCTGCGAAACAAGAACCCAGGGCTGCGAAGACCAATCGCGCATCGCACCCCTCGCAGGGCGAAGCGCGAAGTGAGCCGACCCCGCAGGAGCCGAAGGAGGACGGCGACGCGGAGCTCATCAAGAAGTTCAACGAGGCCCGTGGCCCCCGCTGGTAGACCAGACGCCCAGACATTCGACGTCGTGATTTGTCCGCGTGGCCCCCCCGAGGCCCGGCCCTCCTCCTGGGGCCCTTTCTTGGGCAAGCCGCGGGCGCTCCAGGACCGGGGGCGCCACTCTCGGGCACCAGCTCTTCCTGACGGGTGGATCCTGACCGCTCCTGGGCCCGGTGGGGCACCCCCAGAGGCCGAACGTTGCACGCTTTTTTGGCGTCGGCGGCTGTGCAGGGGACGTCTGCGCTGGCGATGGGATGCCTAAACGGGGATGCCGTTGGAGCGAATGGTGCCACCATGCAAGAGGAGGATCGGGGAGAGGGCGCGGCCGCAGGAAAACGGGGGCGGAGCGGGCGGCTCAGGGGTCAGATAGCTCAACCGAAGCTTGCACACACACCCACACACCCACACACCCACACACCCACACACCCACACACCCACACACCCACACACACACTCACACACACTCACACACACTCACACACTCACACACTCACACACTCACACACTCACACACTCACACACTCACACACTCACACACTCACACACTCACACACTCACACACTCACACACTCACACTCACACACACACACACGAAACAAACAAGTCCGTCGGGGTTTTGCACGCCGCGAGGCTGTCTGGGCAGGCACCCAGAAGACGGCACAAGAAGAGGCACCCACGGCGGCTCACGACGGCCCCAGAACGGTCCAAGAGGCCCTCAGGACGGCCCGAGAGGAGGCCCCGGGAGGTTGACAAGAAGCTCCTGGAGGCTCCCAAACGGCCCCCGCGAGGCTGGCCCGGAGGGCTCCCGCATGCGCTTCAGGAAGGCCTGCGGACGGCCCGTTCCTCAGACTCCGCGGCGGCAGAGCACGGGTGTGCGAGAAGGGCAGCTTGGGCTCGGCCCTGGCCCTGGGCGGCCCTGCCTCCACGGCTCCGCTCGGGTGGCGACGCCTTCCTCGGCGCCCAGACGCCTCCTGACTCGCCTCCACGATCTATATCTGGCAGAGTCTGGCACGGCCTCGGAGCGCCCCGACGCGCCGTCAGGATGGCAGGGCCCCAAGACAGGCCCAGGAAGGCCCCAGGGCTTTCCATCAGGCTCCCAAGACGGCCCAAAGAGAGCCCCAGGATGGCCCCGGAAGGCTCCCAGAGGGCCCACGACGTCCCCAGAGAGCCTCCAGAGGGTCCGAGAGGGCCTCCAGTGGGCGCCACGATGGTGCAAAAAGCCTTTCGGAGAGCTGTGAAACGGCCGAGGATGGCTTCAAGATGGGCACAGGACGCCCCCAATATTGCTTTGGCTTTCCCCAGCACGATGCCCAGATCCAGCAGCAGCAGAGCCAGTGGTGCCATGAGCAGTTAGCAGCATCAGCAGAAGTCAGCACTGGCAGACAGTAGCAGCCCGCATCAGTAAGCAGCATCGCCGAGCAGCAGCAACGCAGCAGCACCAACACCCGTTCAGGTCACCTGCGCCAAGCAGTACGCATCAAGCATCAACAGCTGGCACCAAACAACAGCAATCAGCAACACCAAACCGCAGCAAGCAGGTGCCAGTACCAGTCAACGGTTGGCAGCAGCAGAAACGAGAAACAACAACAAAACAAGTAGCACCAAATAGCACTGAGCAGTAGTTATCCACAACAAGTAGGAGCGATGCGGATGAAGCAAGCACCCAAGAAATCAGGTCAGCAGGTTAGCACACAAGCAGGCAGGCATGCAAGCAATTTGTCGGACACACACGCTGGCAAACACGCAAGCAGAACTGGTAGAAAGCAGCTTCAGCCTCCATTGGTAGACAGCGGCGGCAAGAAACAGTAAATAGCAGCAGCACGCGTTAAGAGTAACAGCGCTAAGCAGCAAGCAGCAGCAACAAGCCGCAGCAAGCAGTTGCCTGCACCAGCAGACAAGCAGTTGCAGCAGAAACTCCAATCAGCGGCAACTAACACCAAGCAGGACCAAATATCAGCAGACGGCAGTAGGCGGCTGTAGGCGGCAGTAGACGGCAGCCAGCAGGCAAGCAAGCGATGAAGCCACCAATCAAGCAGGCAAGCTTGAGACCAGACACGCTGACCAGCATGTAAACAGGAATTTCGGGGAGAAAGCTGTCAGGCCAGCAGGGTAGCAGTCACGCGCGCAAGACAGCACGAAAGCAGGTAGGCAGGCATGCGATCCTAACCTTTGCATGCGAACAAGCTGTCGTGGACGTACATACAATGCCGCGTTTAGGGTCCCCAGAAGGTCGAGCGTTGGCAGCGAACCGACGGCGTCCGGGCCGCTACCGACGGGCCCTCGGAGCCCGGAGCCGCTCTGGGCAGACCTTCAAGGCCGAGCTCTGGGGGCCAGCGTCGCGAAGTAAAGACTCGCGACGGAGCGAGTCAAGAGCGGCCCAGGACGGGAAACCGTCGAGATGCTCAGCGGGCTCACGTCACGAAAATAATGGAGCTTGGGATTCCAGGCCTCCCAGACGGGGTCGAAGTAAAGGCGGTCGGCGGATCGCGCCGCATCATCGACGCATCGCCGGTGCGGCTCGATGCAGAGCCCGATTTTCTCCACGCCGATGGTGCCGATGCATCGCCGACGTCGCCGCGCACGCTCGTGGTCAGCTCTCGACGCTCTGCCTCCCACGCTCGGGATCCGCAGCGCAGCCGTCCTCCCGGTCTGCTTCCGGAGTCGGGCTGGAGCTGCGCAGGCCCGTGGGCAGCGGCGGCGGCCGCCCGCCCACCCGCAGCACGAGGGCGGGCCCAGCCTCGCCCTTGGGCGTGCGGGCTTCCAACTTCACCTTCCGAGTGGCGCGTCCGAGGGCCTCGCGCCCGTGCCGCGCGGCCCTCGGACCTCGTCGCGCTGCGCCCAGGAGTCGGGTCCTGGGGGTGCTGCGGGCCGACGGTCGGGCCGAGGTATCGGATGGAGGCCGGTTCGGGGAGGCTACGCTCGTGTTCTTCCGTGCCTGTTGGACGTACGTGTGCACACTGGGGAGGGTACCCTGGGATGTTCTGTGTGATTTGGCCGGCGGAGGGTCTCGCGCTCTAGGGGGATATTCTTCTGGCCCAGGTCCGACTGCACCCGTGACGCAGTAGCATGCGCGGAATGCGACGTTCGAGAACGATGTCATCATGCCAGTTCTTCGGCAGCATGTCTAACACCACATACCAGTTCGTGCAGATTTCGTGGTCAGACCGAGTCAGCTACAGCCAGCGCTGGGATCAGCGCGTGTGGTAAGGGCGAGCAGTGGCAGCGGGCTTGGGCCCTGCTGAGCGAGACGTGGGAGGCGAAACTAGAGCCCGGCGTCATCAGTCACAGCGCTGGGATCAGAACGCGCGGGAAGGGCAAGCAGTGGCAGTGTGTTTCGGAATTGCTGAGCGAGGTGCGGGAGGCGAAGCTGGAGCCTGATGCCATCACCGTTCTACCTTCGATCGCTGACAACGCAGATGAGGCAGCCCTGCGTATTGGGCAGGCTCGGAATCATGCTCGTCCCACGGGAATATGCACGTCAATCGTCGCAGCGGCAAGGCGGTATACTTAGCACTAGCCATGTGCGACGTAGCTGCGCATTTCCTACAGTCGAGGATGCTCACTCGCAGCAGCTCTCGCAGCAGTGGATTCGTGAACGATCCCATGGCAATCTGCAGGATGCGGGGAGCGTTTTTACTGGGTGGTCTCGCCTTCTTCACCGATGTCGTCAAGTCTCGCGTACATGACAACGGCGCCATCGCCCAGATTTGCTTTCGCGAGGTGAAGCAGGGTCTCTCTACGGACCACATGAAGCAGACTATGGGTGCGCTCTCCGTCATCAGTTGGGCGCTCCGGGAGCACCCGCCACATACAGCGACAGAGCTCTTCCTTGACCTGCCAGAAGACGTCGATGAAGAGGTGTGTCGCTGCTTTGACACATTGGATATTGAGATCCGCGTGTGGCCAGAAATGCCGGCAACAGTGGCAGCAGTCTCCGCCGAAGGAGCCCCTGGGCGAGGCGGGGCGAGCAGTGTCGGGCCGTGGCGCCGCGGGTGGAGACGTGAGAGGCGAGGCTGGCGCCCGACGCCATCTATACGACAACGGGATCAACGTGTGCGAGAAGGGCCCGCCTGAGGCCCCGCCCGCCTGTGCCCTGTCTCCACAATTATAGCTGTGCGTAGCCCGCCTAGCTTTTATCGGAAGAGGTTCGCTCTCGCCCCGCAGACCAAAAAGGTGTGCGCGAAGGGCGAGCAGTGGCAGTGGCAGTGGCGCACCGCTGCCCTTGACATCCGTGCCCGTGGTGGCACGTGGCAGGGCGAGCCGACGCGCCCCCTGGCGGCCCTTGAGACCCGTGCCCGGCAGTCACGCGGGGGGGGGGGGCGCCAGCCTGCCCCGCCTCCCCTTGTGCTCCCTTTCCCCTTGTCCTCCCCCTCCTCCTCCGCCCCCCCCCCCTTGCTTGGCTCGCCTCCCCACTCTGCTCCCTCTCGCCCCTGGCCGCTTGATCTTCTTCTCTGGCCTCGGTCTCGGTCTCCTCCACCCCCTGCGCTTGCTCGTCCGCATCGGCCTGCCCCCTCCTCCCCCTCCCCTCCTGCGCCGTCTTCGTCCACGCCTCGCACATAGCGCATGATCTTCCTCTCCGCTCCGTTACCCCTTCCCCCCCTGCCTCTTGCCTGGTTCTCGATCTCCCCCGTTCTGCACAGCTCGTCGTCCTCGATCCTGTCTTGCAGAAATGCCAGCCCGAGGCAGGAGCAGCAGGGGAGTGGGCACACCGTGCTGGCCCGCACCCAGTCTGCATCCTGCCCTCTTTCCGAGCCACCCCCGCCTCCTCCTGTTCCTATTTCCCCGGGTCTCCCTCTACGGTAGGTTCGCGTCGTGTCGACCGGCGGCGACCCCGCTGCCGGCGTTCAAGGTTGAACGCCGTTGGCGACCGAATCGGTCGGTGTTGAACGATCGGAGTTTTCGGAAACGGCCGATCGTTCAAGGTTGAACGATCCCCGCGGGGTCGGAAACCAACGCCGCGGTCGGCACGACACGAACCTGCCGTACACAGGCATTCGCGAGAAAACGGGAAGTGGCAGCGGGGGCTGCGAGCGGCGGGAGAAGCAACGCGAAGCAGATCCCGGCAGGCGTCCACGGACCACCCCGAGTGTCGTGCCTGTGGCAGGTTGCAGGGTCCGTTGAGACGCTGGCAGACTGCCAGAGGGCCCACCCCACAACTCCGAAGACGGGCGGCCCGGACATCGCAGCCCATGTGGCATGCAGGTCGCCGACGCTGGCTCCCAAGAAATTCACGGAGTCTCGGGCGCTCCCCCCCGCTTGCTAGGGAAAGCCCGCAGCGGCTGCAACCCTTGGCGGAATGCGTTCGGAAAAAGGCGAGGAGGGCGGGAGGAAGAGGAGGAGCAGGAGGAGGAGGAGGGACAAGGAGGGGCGAGGAGGACGAGGAAGGGAGATTAGAAGACAATCGTCGGAGGATCTTCAATCGTGCCAAAACACCGTTCGCGGGACTTCAACGCCGCTGATCAAACCTGGCGGTTGCGTCCAGGCAATCTGAAGTCGTGCCAGCACATTATTTCTGGGAGTTAAACACTTCGAATGCAAATTACTGTGGCGTCCTGACAATTAAACATCGTGTGAAGCACATTCCTGGGATTTCAACCGGACGAACCCTTGAAACGGTCGCAACGTTTTACGAATGCGGGCGGCACTGAAAAATAGGAATTGCTGCAAGTATCTAAGACGAGAGTGCGCAGCGTTCAGGGGAAAGCCACATTTTTTTGGAAAACTGCATGTCCTCCATGTTTGATTGCGCTGCAATGCTTAAAACGAATGTGCGCGCCGCTAAAGCGAGAACCACGTTTTGAAAACAATCCTCCCTCCATCCGAGAACCTTGCGAATTTCAAGCTTCAGGATCATGAATGGTGAGGAGCTGTCTACTGCAAGTCCCGCCACCGTGCCTGAGCTGTGGAAATCAACCCTCCTGGATGTTCGTGAGGATCTCGCCCCTGGGAGGCCTCTTGGAGGCAGTTTGGGGGCTTCTCGGGGGCCGTTTTGGGACCGTTTGGATCCTCTTGAATGCCTCCTGGCCTCTTGGGGCAGAAGGCTCGGATGTTCGGTTCGCGTTCTCTTTCTTCGGCCCTTGTTGGTGCTGTCTTGGGGCCCTCTTGGGCCGTTTTGGGCGCCTCTTGGGCCGTCCTGGGGGCGCTCTTATGCCATTGTGGGGCCCTCCCGGATGCCTCTTAGGCCATTTTGGGATGGTCTTGGGGGCCTTGGGCCGTCTTGGAGCGTCGGGAAGCGGAAAAGGCGAGGACGCCAACATTTTCCAAATACTGAGAGCAAGTCAATGATTTTGCCTCTTGGGGCCTTTGTGGGGTCCTCTTGGGTCATCTGGAGGCCATCTTGGGCGTGCGTCTTCGAGCGATCGTTCGGCGATTCGAGGTCCTCTTGGACCGTTTTGGGGGCGTCCTGGGCCGTTATTGAAGCCTTGGCGACCCCCAGGGAGGCGCCATGGACGCCAGGGACCTCCCCGGAGTGGGGGTGGCGCAGTCGGGGAAGCGTGACCTTGGGGAGGAGGGGGTCCATTAAAATGCTACAGAAACCTTGCCCGGCAGCTGTTGGCAGTCTTCCACGCTTCAACGTGCCGCAGGAACGGTGGCGGATACGGAAAAAACGGCGGAGGAGGATTAGGAGGAGGAGGAGAGGAGGAGGAGGAGGAGGAGGAGGAAGAAGAGGAGGAGGAGGAGGAGGAGAAGGAGAAATAATAATAAGAAGAAGAAGAAGAAGAATAATGAAGAAGAAGAATAATAATATGAAGAATAAGAAGAAGACACATACTAAGAACAATTCAAAAATGATAAGGATGATCAAAACCGCATGAAGAAGAGGAACGGGAGGAAGAGGAGAAGAAGGGGGAGCAGGAGAAGGAGGAGGACGAGGAGGAGGGGAAGGAAGGGAGAAGAAGGACGAGGAGGAGGAGAAGGACGAGCAGGAGGAGGAGGAGGAGGAGGAGGAGGAGGAAATGCGATTCCTTTCCGACCCCGGAGGAGGCGGGCGCCCAGCGTGGCTCCCGGCCGCAGTTCGCGCTATGAGATGGCACCGCGGCACCCGCGCCGCCGCGCGGCGGCCGCCCAGCCTGGCTGGGAGCGGCGGGGCCCCCCCGGCCCCAATGCCTGCCCAGCTCGGGCCCCCGGCCGCCGGGACGGGGGGCTGCCCCACCTTGCGGGCGGCCCTGGAGCTTCCAGCGGGCGCGGGAGGCCGCCGCACTCGGCCCCACCGCGGCGCGCCGCACTGCGAGGCGCCGACGCCCGATCGCCACGGAGACGGCGGCCTCTCGGCTTCAGCACGGCGCGAACACCAACCACGACCACGGCGAGAAGACGAAATACATCGTCATCGAGGTCGCCCCGGCCGCGCCACTGGACTGATGGGCCAGCAAGGGCCGTGCAGCTGCCAGTGGCTATAACGACGGGGCGAAGACCCAAAATGCCACTGGCACAATCAGCGCCGCATTCTTTCCAACGCCTACGCTTTCGACTGCACCGAAATCCCGCGCCGACGCCAGCATCGATATCCTTCAGATCTTCCTGGACGCCTTCACGTACAACTGCCACTACGAACAGCATTGCAAATTGCCGACCACCAGCCCCTGCCGGGTATGTCCAGGGCGTGCTCTCGAAGAGAGCAGCGAGACAGCGGAGGACTACTGCAACGACGTCGAGACAGCGGAGGACCACGGCCACGACCGGGAAGCACGGTCATCCAGCTTCGAGCACGACCACGATTGGGAGGAGTTCGTGGAGGAGAAGGAGGAGGTAGAGGATGTCGTCACGGAGGAGGCCCTGGACCACATGGCGGAGGAAGAGGACGGACTCTAGCAGTACCTTCCCCAGCGGCACGGCCACCAGCCCGACGCTCCGTCCGACGCGCAGCACAGCCCGACGCCCAGACCGATGCCCAGCAACTCCCGACATCCAAGCCGACGCCCAGTCCGACGCCCAGACCGACGTGCAGCCCAGCGCAGCCCGTTGACCAGACCGACACCCAGACTGGCCGACGCCCAGGCCACAGCATGTCATGGCATGGCGCCAGGTTCATTGGAGGGTAAGTGGATCGTCTTCGAAGGGTCTGGGCCGGTCTGGGGTCGCGGCTCCGTGTTTAGCTCCCTGGGTTCCCCGAGGAGCTCCCCACGAGGCGCGGCTGATGGAGAGCACCCGCTGGCTCTGCTTGCAACATCGCCTTCTCAAAGCAGAACCGGGGCTCCCGCTTGATACTTCCTGAAAACGACGACGCCCCAAAGTGGGGAGGGGCTTCTGCGGCCCCAAAAATCAACGAATCGACTCCGAATGTGGAATCACTTCCGATGGTTTTTTCGGGGTGGCATTTTTATTTTTTTTATTTTTGGGCCTGCTTGGAAGGACCGAAAACCATGCCGGGGCATGGCGCTGGAAATAATGACGCCAGCGCTGCAGCGGGAGCACGAGTCGCAACGAGCGGAAGCGCGGAAAAGAGGCCATCGCTGCAGCGGGAGCACGATTCGGAACGAGCGGTAGCCCGAAAATGAGGCCAGCCCTTCAGCGAGAGCATCATTTTGAAAAACCACCCACGCGAAAACTCGTTTCCCGGGAATCCTGTGCAAAAGAACAGTACGCGGAGGGGGGCCGAACATTGCCCAGACGTCAGGGTGTTTCATGCAGAGCTGCGCGTGGGACGTCGGTGGCGCTCGCCGAACGTGTGGGCGGTGCGCGCTGCAGGCGGCAGAGCAAAAGTAACGCGTCCTTGGCATCGCGCTGAAGTGCAATGAGCTGGCCCGCGGGGCCCCGTGGGTCTCGGCATCGCTCGGACTTGTGCATTTTTTCTTCGGCGAGAACCATCGAGGAGCATCCTTGATCATTTGGTGAAAAAACCACGCACGAAACCGAAAAAAGCACAGGGAATGGACGTCCGAGCGATGGCCAGGGGTCCCGTGATGCGCAGTGGGTTTGGAGGCACTGCTCCGTCTAACTCTGCGCACCATTCATGGTCGGTCCAGGCGTGCCCCGCCAGAGGTCACGTTCCAAGCCGCCGGGGCGCACCTTCGTCGTTGTGCCTTCGGGTTGGCCTCAATCAGCTGGTTGCAGGTGGCATCCTGTAGCCGTCGGATTGTCATGCTGAGCGCGTAAGCGCGAAGCGCTTCTGTTTGCCGTGGCTTTCCAGCCAGCCAGCAACAACCCAAGTAAGTTCATGCGGCTTTTGTTCCTTCATGCGCCTTTTCGGCGGGTTCGCGGGGGCCGATCCATGACGCCAGCATCGACGCCAGCATCGACGCTAGCAACGAAGACATAGTTTACTTCAGCATCGGGGCCAGCGTTGGCGACGCCATGACGCTGGCACTGACTCCATTAACGAAGCCAGCCCTGACGCCAGCACCCACGCCAGCATCGACGCCAGCATTGGCACCACCACTGAAGACAGTAGTGGCCCAGTGCCGCAGCCAGCGCCGACGTCAGCATCGGCGCCGGTACCGACCCCAGCATCGTCGCCAGCACCGACGCCAGCATCAACCCCAGCATCAACGCCAGCATCGAAGACGGCGCCAGCTCCAGCACCAGAGCCAGCCATTTGCGCCATCACCAACACCAGCATCGACTCCAGTGTCGACGCCAGCACCCAGGCCAGCCTCGGCCCCCGCATCGACGCTAGCATCGAAGACAGCACTTACTCCAGCATTGGAGCTAGCAGCGACGTCAGTATCGATGTCAGCACTGGCTCCAGCATCAAGCCATCAATGACTCCAGCATCGACGCCATCATTGAAGGCTGTGTCCACCCCAATCTGGAAGCCAGCATCGACGTCAGCAGCGACGCCAGCACTGCTTCCAGCATCGACGCCAAGGCTAGCGCCAACATCGACGCCAGCATCGACACCAGTAGCGAAGGCAGCGACCACCAGTCGAACTACCACCACCACCACACCTACCAGCACCACCGCGACTGCGACCAGCAGAGTCGCAATCCGCAACGCGACTGCGACCAGCAGAACCACTACCGCCACGACTGCGACCAGCACCCCCACCCCCACGACGCGCCTTCCAAGACGGCCCAGCGGGAGGCCCAGAAGCGGGCCGGGCGAAAAAAGCGGCTGACAGCGTCAGAAACCCCACCCGACGCCCCTCCTGACGCCCTTCCCGACGCCACTCCCGAATCCCAGCACAGCGACCACGCCCTCCCAGATGCTCTGCCCCTCCCCGACGGCGTTTTCGTGGCCACCGACAGGCGCCGCGACTCCGACGGGTGCGCTTCCCCAACCACCCGCGCGACGTCGGGCCAAGCGCTCCCCCCGACGCCCTGTCTGACGCCGTCCGCGACTCCTTCTCCGACGCCTCATCCCGCACTCCACCCTGCACACCACGTAGCGACCAGCAGCATCAACGAGCATTGCGACTGGCGACAGGCAGCAGCACCGCGACTGCCGCCAGCAGCACTGCCACCAAAGCGGAGACCACCAGCACCACCGTAAGGACTGCGACCAGCAGCGCCGCAACGCGCGCTGCGCCTGCGACCGGCAGCATCACGACTTCGATTGCGACCAGCACCAGCACCACGACGCCACGACCGTGACCACGACCAGCCACAACCAGCAGCAGCACCACGACGCCACGACCGCCACCACAACCAGCAGCATCCCGACTGCCGCCTGCATCCTGCCGATTTGCCCTCGCCCTTGGGCCCCGTGGCTCACGGCTCCCCAAGGGGAGGACAAGGCCCCCGCTCACAGCGACCGGCCTCGGGGCGACACACGGGCTGCGCGGCATGCCTGGCAGCATCCCCCCCGTCCGCCCCGACGCACGCTCGGCACCACCACTTGCTGCCTGCCCACCCGATGGCATCGAGCTCCTGCCAAAACCATGGGTTGCGCCATCCGCTCTCCCGACTCCCGACGAGCCGATCTTCGCATCGTCCCTTCCGCACTTCCCAGAAACCCACGCCCTCGCACATCCAGCTCCACGACCACCACCACCACCACCACTGCCACCGCAACCAGGCCGCGTACCCGTCCCCAGCCGAGGCCGCACGACTTGTGTCGGCCGCAAGGCGCTGCGAGGCCCGGCGGAGGCTGTAAGGCGCGCTCGCCCGCGTGGCCAGCGGCCTGCGGCTGCAGCGCCCCCAGGTGGAGCGGCGGGGCCCCCACCATGAGCCCAACGCCCCCTGGGAGTAAGGACGAGGAGGAGTGAGGAGTGGAAGCGACGAGGAGGACAAGGAGTGGAAGCGACGAGGGTGAGGTCGAGGAAGGAAGGAGTGAGGAGTGGAAGCGACCCAGTGCGCGCCCAAGGGGCGAGCCACGTGCGCGGGCGGGCCAGTTCCCCTCGATTCCCCATGGGGGGACTTCGTTGGCCTTTTTCTGTGCTTGGGGGGGCCCTTTCCTCCCTCCTCCCGCTTCCCTTCGTCGTGCTTCGGTCCGTGCGTCCGGGCCCCTTTCGTCCTCCTCTTTCGGGCACCTCGGTGCGTGCCCCCTCCTCGTCCCTCGCTGGCCGCGCCCTTCGGTGCCGCAGCGCGAACGCCACCGCTGCCAGGCACCCTGGCTTAATTCCCCCAACAGCGGCCGCTGCTGGGGGTGGTGGTGGCCGTGTTCGACGAACTCCATGGCCATAATCTCGTAGCTCGTAGGAGGAGGAGGAGGAGGAGGAGGAGGAGGAGGAGGAGGAGGAGGAGGAGGAGGAGTAGAGAGGTGGAGGCAGGACGAGGGGCTAGGAGGAGGAAGGAGGAAAGAGTAGGGACGAGCAGGGAGGCGGAGGAACAGGCGTTGACTGAGGCGGACAAGGATCATGACGAGCAGGGGATCGCCGCAGCCGCCCGACCCGCACCCGGCAAGGCCGTCGGCGCCACGATCCCGGAGAAGGGCGCCCGGGGGGCGGCGCCCGCGGCTGGCGCGGGGGCTTCCGCGCCGGGCGTCAACCCGGAGCTGAGCGCGATCCTGCAGCAGTTCCTGCAGAACCAGGCCCTTCCCCAGGGTCCAATGCAGGGTCGTCCTCCTCCTCGTCCTCCTCCTCCTCGTCCTCCTCTTCCTCCTCCTCTTCCTCCTCCTCCTCCTCCTCCTCCTTCTCCTCCACCGTTTCCTCCTCCTCCTCCTCCTCCTCCTCCTCCTCCTCGTCTGCCTTCTCCTCCACGTCCGCCTCCTCCTCCTCCTCCTCCTCCTCCTCCTTCGTTTCCTTGCCCCCCCAGCCCAGGCATGATGCTCTGATAATGGATTCGTTTCGGGCTTGATGGGCCCACGGCTAGCCCTCGCCGCCGCCATGCTATCGCACCTGCACTGGAACTGTATGGCGGCAGCTGATGAGACGCGACTGCATGAGATTTCGGACGGATTCTAGCATGTTGGAATCGTGACATTGTTTTCGACGGGAGAGCGTGCGCGTCAGTCTCCGCTGGTTCTAACACATCTACGGCATCCGCGCTCGTGGGTCTCCGCTGGTTCTGACATACCTACGGCATCATATCGCTTTGAGGAGTGGTTTGGTTCCAGGGAGACGACGTGAATTCGTCGTGTGGTCTCACCTTGCTCCGGGGGACAAGGAAGTTTCAGGAGAAGGACGAAGTTGACTCCCCCCCCAGAGCAAAGGGACCTGAAGGGTCGTGTGGCCCTCCACTGAGTAAGGTCAGGGCGATTTGCCCTGCTGCTGCCCATGGCGTGCTTCCCACCCCGACGATGGGGAAAAATGGAAGGCAGACAGTTCACTGGTGATACCAATTTTGGGAAAGATCGGGCCACAACCGATTGCATGTGTTCCTGGCTTGAAAAATATTCAACGTGGCCCTGTCCTCGGTCAGCTGTCGTCTTGGTTTCGACTTGAATGATTCGTTTGGGCTCAAACTAATTTCAGGTAGAGGAGTGGTTCCTATGCGGTCGGCTGCGCTGTGTGTGTGTGTGTGCACGAATGTGGTGGTTAGAGATTTGCGGGAGGCAGGGCACTCGATATTTTTGAAAGGTTCGCAATGCGCGTTGTGTTCATGGGTTGCAGAGTTGGTGATACGTTCTTCGGTGCTAGAAATTCGAGTGGGATTGATGCCGGGGCTGTCTTCGAGTGGCAGTGCGATTCGGTAAAGCGGCGTGAAGGTCTTCGGCGTGCGAACCAGAGTCTCAAACTGGTGAAAAGCAGGGGGTGCAGGACCAGGTGCCGCTCCTGCGTCGGACCGACCATGAGCTAGGGATGTCGTCGTGGTCACGTTCGGAGGAGGCTCAGTGGGACTTTCACAACTTAGCGATAGCGTTGACGCGGGAAGTTGGAACGTCGGACTTTACTGGAGATCTGGAGAGTCAGTTCGAGGGCCTCGACTTTACAACCTCTTGGTGAGTGCACCCGCTCCAGAGGACGCTTGGCAGATGTGGATCACGCGACTATATGCGACGGCTGAGCAGCATTCCAGCAAGCAGTCGGAGAGCGATGAGAGAGCGACGGCATTCGCAGCTAAGAGATCTCTCGGCTGCTGGCCTTTCAGCGTTCTCTACGTAGTTCAGGCGACGACGGCTTTAAGGGCGACGATGGATCTAGTACGAGTGTCTAAGCAGCTCCTTCAGCTTCGCAGGCATCGGTTCGAGGTGGTCTCGTCTTTGCTCGTCGAGGAGACCTCGTCGGCTTGGATATCTCAGAAGCACGCAGAGGTCTGGAGATTGGCACGCCTGCTCGCGAGCCAGAGCAGACGCCCAAAGAGATGTCGGCACAGCGCTCCTGATGCAAATGTTCCTCGAACAGCTGGCGCGCGGGACTACTTTTCATTGTTACTTGCTCTTTTCTTTTCGAAGAGCCTGGGCACTACGCACACCGCGGCCGATAAGAAAATTGCTGGTTCGTCCTGGTCCCTGCCGTTTTCTTATGGCGCGCCCTAATTTGGCATGTCAGAGGCTGAATATTTTATGCGCCTGGTTTCTTACCCTATGCCTCGAGAGTCAGTCGGTCGCTCGAGAGTCCGCGGAGCAGTTGTGAAAAGCAGCTTGCTAAGTCAGCGGTTACTTTCTTATTTGTTTTGGGCCCCAGCTTGGTTGCAAAATGTCTTATCTCATGGTGGTCGTATCATTGTTCGTGTGCGTAGAGATCTTACAGTGCAGGTGTGGCTTCTGGCCTCCTCTGGCTTCTGCTCCTCCTCATTCTCAGACTTCCACTTCCTCTCGCTCTCACCCCCGCCCTTCCCACTCTGCCGGTCCTACTCCTTCGCTTTTCCCCATCTTCCCTCGCTCATCACGCCCTCTCCCTGCTCTTCTTTCGTGTCCTCTCCCTCCTTCTCCTCCCCCTCCCTTCAAAAAGAACCCTGGTCGCACCACCAGACTTGTCCGTAGAGCGGGCTAGCCGTGCCCCAGGAGACCTCAGGGTTCTGAAGCTTGCGATCCTCAACAGCTTCACGGATGGAGCACAGGCGGCACTCAGGGTTCTGAAGCTTGCGATCCTCAACAGTTTCACGGATGGAGCACAGGCGGCATTTAACAAATAGCTCTCGCCCCAGCGCCGCGAAAATCATGTTGAAACGCTCCCGATTTACACGGATGGATGGCGTGTCGTTCTCAGAACGTGATTATCGCCAACGTTCCGCCCACATTCGTCTTGCTTCCAACAGCTACTCGAATGGACTGTGGTCTCTTTTCAACGCGGGGATACGGTCGGGAGCTTTCAGATTGCGCGTCGCTCCGCCGTTTCTGGCCCACCACGTTTCGGTGCGACACTGGCCCACCGCTTCAGGTTTCATTCGTCCCTGCGCGCCCCGCTCTGACGGGACTCGCCGCCGGCGCGCTCGCCTGCGGCCGCTGCCCAAAAGAAGTTCCGCTGCGACACGCGGTCCGTGTCGCGGCCCCCAGGCGTCCACGTGCCGAGCTCTTCCCAGCCCCCCACCCCGCGAAGCGGAGCGACACGCCATCCGCTTGCAGGGCATACGTAGCGTGTCGCCGGGGCCGCCGCCACGACACGGGAAGCAAGAGATGCCGACCGTGCTGTGTCGATGCCCTCGGGTCACGCTGCCATGAGCATTAGACATGTCCAGCAAGCGCACGGGTGGAGGGCGGCTCGTTGTTGGAGTGGGGTTCTCGCCTCAGTATTCTCCATTGCTTAGGCTCCGAGGCATGATGTCGGGCAGCGGGTGCACGGGCGGAGGGCAGGATTATTTTCACATTGGGGTTCTCGTTTGACACATACACGCTTTGACAGTCCCTGCGCTCTTCTATCATGGCAAGGATATCTACGAGTGACGATCCACATGCAGGGACTTATGAATAGACTTGGTCTGGAGACTTTATGGCAGCATCGCTGCTTCCTCCTTATCCTCGTTCTTCAGCATTCCCCTTGCTGGACCGGGCACCTCCTCCCCTTCCTTCATCCACCTCGTCCTCCCCTACCTCCCCTCCCTCCCTCCCTCGCTCGACACTCCGCCTCCTCCCTCGCTCGCTCCCTTCTCCTCCTCCTCCTCCTCCTCCTCCTCCTCCTCCTCCTCCTCCTCCTCCTCCTCCTCCTCCTCCTCCTCCTCCTCCTCCTCCTCCTCCTCCTCCTCCTCCTCCTCCTCCTCCTCCTCCTCCTCCTCCTCCCCCTCCTCCTCCTCAGTAGTCATTCTCCTCCTCTGTCCTGTATCTTCTCTCCTCCTCGTCCTCCCGTCTCCTCGCCCAGGGCGCGCCTGGCGTGCCGCGCGCGCCTCCCGTGCCGCTGAGCGCCGTGCTCACCACGGAGGTGCCGGCCGACCGGGCCCCCCGCAGAACGAGTCGCCGTCGTCGGTCGTCGTTGGTCGGCGTCGTCGTCGTCGGCCGTCGTTGGTTGCCGTTGACGTCGTGGTCGTCGTCGTCGTCGTCGTGGTCGTCCTCCTCCTCCTCCTCCTCCTCCTCCTCCTCCTCCTCCTCCTCCTGCTCGGTGGTGTTCGTCGTCGTTGTCGTTGTTGTCATCGTCGTCGTCAGAGGTGGTAGTGTTGGTGGTAGTGGTGGTTGTTGTCGTCGACGTCATCGTCGTGGTCGTCGCCGCCGTCGTCGTCGTCGATGGTGCTGGCGGTGGTCGTTGTCGTGGTTGTCGTCGGCGACGCCCTTCGCTGGTCGTCCGTCGTCGATCGTGGGCCGTCGGTCGTCTGTTGTCGGTTGTGGGTCAGCGTCGGCTGTTCACAGAGGTGTTGAAGAGCCTCCTGGACGACGAGGCTCGGAGACCCCCAGCCTGCGCTCCACGATCGGGCTCCCCCCTTGCTTCTAGGCTTCAGAGATGGGGTCGGAGCAGGTGGGTTCGGAGGATCGCGCCGAATCGCCGATGCATCGGCCATGCTGCTCGACGTGGAGCCCTGTGTTCTCCACGCCGACGTCGCCGATGCGTCGCCGACGTCGCCGATGCATCGTCGATGCATCGCCCATGCATTGGCGATGCATTGGCAAAGCGGTACGATCCTCCGACCCCATCTGTTCGGGCCACATCTAGGAGGTCTCTACTGCTCCACCCGCTTCTCCCCTCTCAGTGCCCCTCCTCCCCTCCTCCTTTACATCGTCTCCGTCGCCATCCCTCCACCCCTTCGCATCCCACCCACCTTCGCCCCCTTCTTTGCATCACGTTCCATTATCAAACTGATGGGAAGGATTGATTCAACGGAGCCAATGAGTCGAATTCCAGATTCTGACGCAATCGCGCACTACGACATCTGAGTTTCGGCGCTCTGGCGCCCCCGCCGAGGTCTTAGAGGCCCCCCCCGGGGCGAACATCGGCGCCTTGCCTTGCCTTCTCCAAACAAAAAGCATCATCCCCTCCTTTCCCCCTCCTCCCTCCCTCCCTCAACCCTCTCTGCTCGTCTGCCCTCATGCTTCGCGCCGCACCACCCCCGGAGCGCAATCGCGATCCTTTCCCCTTCCCCTCAGACCCCTCCTCCTCCTCCTCCTCCTCCTCCTCCTCCTCCTCCTCCTCCTCCTCCTCGTCCTCCTCCTTCTCCTCCTCCTCGTCCTCCTCTCCTCCTCTCCTCCTCCTCC